GGAAAAAAAAAAAAAAAAGAAAAGAGGAAATAGGATAGAAATGAAAGATACCGCTTCTGAGATTAGATAGCAGTGGGGTACATTGAAGCCACGCATGCCCAGGGGTTCCTTCCCCCAGCTCAGCGATGAGCTATATCATACCTTTTTCTCAAGAGGAGAAGTGACTAACATGTTGAAGAAGAGGCCAAGAATGTTAATCTAGCAAAGTACCTCCACATGGCAAATATGAAGAGTGAAGGATAAATACCCTTTCCCCCATAAAGGAACTCATTATTTCTTACAATTTTTTTTAGTGAGTTTTGGAAAAAAATACTATGTGTTTCATATGTATACACATGTGCATCCTTAAATTGAGATTTTCTTTTTTTTTTTTTCTTCTTCTTTGACACAACTGAGCAAACCTTCTGCAGGAATTAATTGAGATTTTCATACTTTTTTTTTGGTTACAGGTTATTTAATGGAGCAGCCAATCTCTCTGCACACCTGGTTTCATCTAATAATCTACAGATACCAGCTCTGAGGCCAGTTAATCATTCCCAGTGTCCAGGCACGGAGTAGTCAGTCCTGCTCACAATGGTGGACTTTCTAGCCGAGAACAACCTCTGCGGCCAAGCAATCCTAAGGATTGTTTCCTGTGGTAATGCCATCATTGCTGAACTTTTGAGGCTCTCTGAGTTTATTCCTGCTGTGTTCAGGTTAAAAGACAGAGCTGATCAACAGAAATATGGAGATATCATATTTGATTTCAGCTATTTTAAGGTAATCTTCCTCTGGCATCTTTATTGTTGTCTTTTCTGTAAAAGCATATTTTCTCTGGGAACCATGAAACTCTGTAAGGTTAGGTAATTATGGAAAAAGCTACAGAGAAAACCTTTGGACTAAATTTAATAACAGCTACTAACTTGAAAGTAAGTCGAAGATATTATGTGAAAGCCCTAACACAATATAATTGTATTTTTAAAAGATAACTTTGATATTTCACATTGAAGGGCCCCATACTCAAAGCATGCTACTCTTGGTTGCAATTCAAATTCATTTTTCTCAAAGGGATTTTATATCTAGGCTTCTGTTATCTTCATTGCTTTCTGTTGCTCTGCTTTAAGTTTGAGATATTTAAGAACATAAGAACAAATTTTTAGAAGACTGTGTAGAAATTGTCACCTTACTGACATTCATATACATGTGTTTTTTTTTTCCTTAGGGTCCAGAATTATGGGAAAGCAAACTGGACGCTAAACCAGAGCTACAGGATTTAGATGAAGAATTTCGTGAAAACAACATAGAAATTGTGACCAGATTTTATTTAGCATTTCAAAGTGTGCATAAATATATTGTAGACTTAAACAGGTACTGATCAATTTAGTAATAGCTTATTCTGGTAGTAAATAGTGGAGAGGGAACAGGACACACAACAACATATAAATCTCTCTGAGTTACTATAAAATTTCCTAGTTTATACTGTATATAGTTGTCTTTTTCTTCCTGTGGCACTGGTCATCTTAAGAATTTTAAAGTTTTACTGTAATGTCCTTCTCTTGTGAGGTATCATAATAAACTTAGTTTATGCTAAGTTGTAGAGCTTCCAATCCTGTCATTTATTATCATATTCTAGTGTATTATATGTGAAAATTGGGAAAAAGAACTTATTTTTATCATTAACTTTCTGTCTCTTCTGTATTTCTTAAGAATTCATTACTCATTAACTTTTAAACTAGATAGATATTCCATGTTTTTCTGCCTTTACTCCTAGATACTTGTAATTCATAAATCAGGACTAGGGAATATTTGTGTTACTTGTAACAGCCGTAAATGTCAAACTGTGGCCCTAAATCAGTTTATAAGACTCCATTCTTCAGAACATGAAGGACCATGAACTAAAGGCCAGAATGCCTAGTAGCCTGCCTTATCTTTTAAAAATCTTTCCTTCTTTAAAGATTACGTTAAAGTTTCTATTATAAATTAATAGCTTGCTCTGGGGTTTTATTTCTAGATATCTGGATGATCTCAATGAAGGGGTTTATATCCAGCAAACCTTAGAAACTGTGCTTCTCAATGAAGATGGAAAACAACTTCTGGTAAGTAATAGTGATTATTTAAAATGAAACTCAAGAATATCAAACTTAGTACCACTTTTTTTTTCCCTTTAAGCCACAAATACATAAGAAATACCATTCTTTAAAGAGAAGTGAAATGAGCTTTTAATTATCTTCGAACTGGCAGGTCCATATCTGAGTTTAGAACATGGACTTTGAACAGAATTTAAAACAATTAAAAGTTATGTGGAAGTTATGAGCTTCCTCGTTGTAAGAATTCTGTCTTACTTACTTTTTGCATCCCAGGCATCTGTCCTGGTGCCCAGTACATACTGACCATTTAAGAAATGCTTATTGAATAAGTGAATGACTTTATGATGAAGAGGTATTCACAATATTGGGATACTATTTTGGTGTCCCAAGCAAAAGAGCCAAAATAGGCCAGCTGAAAGATCATCACTGGGAATTAAACTCTATTTCACATAAACTTCAAGGCCCATTTTGCAAGAAGGTAAGAGCTCTTTGGAGGAAACCTACCTTTTCCTTGAAATCTACAACTTTTTGGAGAAATGTGATATTTTTAATGATTACCAACTTTACTCCCTAAGAATGTATAATCCTGTGATTTTGGCTTTTGTCCTCTTCTCTTCCTAGTGTGAAGCACTATACTTATATGGAGTTATGCTACTGGTCATTGACCAAAAGATTGAAGGAGAAGTCAGAGAGAGGATGCTGGTTTCTTACTACCGATACAGGTATTCCTGGGCTAGGGCTGTACTTCCAAAACACTGCTGTTGGTAAAATGCAGTTTATGTTCCCATACTCTTTCTACTGTGAACAGCAATAATAAAAAAATGGGTAAGAAAGTATACGATTCCAGCCAGGCACGGTGGCTAGCACTTTGGGAGGCTGAGGTGGACAGATCACGAGGTCAAAAGATTGAGACCATCCTGGCCAACATGGTATTTTTGTACTAAAATACAAAAATTAGCTGGGTGTGGTGGCGTGTGCCTGTAGTACCAGCTACTCGGGAGACTGAGGCAGGAGAATTTCTTGAACCCGGGAGGCAGATGTTTCAGTGAGCCAAGATCGCGCCACTGTACTCCAGCCTGGCGCCTGGCAACAGAGTGAGACTCTGTCTCATACAGTTCGGCCAGGTGTGGTGGCTCATGTCCATAATCCCAACACTTTGGGAAGCTGAGGCAGGCAGATCGTCTGAGGTCAGGAGTTCGAGACCAGCCTAGCCAACATGGTGAATCCCTGTTTCTACCAAAGCTACAAAAATCAGCCGGGTGTGGTGGTGGGTGCTTGTAATCCCACCTACTGGGGAGGCTGAAGCAGGAGAATTGCTTGAACCTGGGAGGTGGAGGTTGCAGTGAGCCGAGATCACACCACTGCACTCTCTAGCCTGGGCGACAGAGCAAGACTCTGTCTCAAAAAAAAAAAATGTAAGATCCTTATCTCTTCTGAGCATATTTTAGGAATATAACAATTATGCCCTGTTATATTTCATAATATAGATTGTAAAATCTATATATTGCATATAAAATATTCTATATATTATATATTATTATAGGTATGGATACTGTCCCTAATGATAAATACAGTTTTTAAAAAGGAGTCTATATTGTGAACTTTCTTTATTTTGAGGCTAAATTTCAAAGAGTCTTAAAAATCTAATGAAGGTTGTTTCTGTTTTTGTTTTTGTTTTTGAGTAAAAGCAGCTAGAAACTCCTTGGCAGATATAAGGGAATCAGTGTGCCTTCTGTTGTCATTTTCAGCTTGATGACTTTGAAAAGTTGTCATTCAGAGGCAGGTTGAAAATGAATTTTCTCAAATGTTTGCATAGAAACAGAAACAAATCAAGCAACAGCACATATCCACGATTATTTGTTGTCTCTATCTAAACAGAACTGTGATTCTTCAGGAGTAAGTTTTTGAAACCAGGAGCCACCTTGACCAGGTTTTTAATTTTAGTATCTAACACACAGGTTTTCAATTTGTGGAATGAGCTAAAAATGGAATACCAGGTCAGTGTTGGAAATAGTGAAGATTCAGAGAAGAAAGATTCAGCAAAGATTCAGTAAGAAGGAGTCAATTAGGAGCTTGAGCTAAAGATGGAAGGAGTAGAATTAACCTTTTCAAACTTAAAAATTAGGACAAACAGGCAAGACTCTCAAGGAGAAGGGGGTTCTTTGGGAACGTTATACTTTTGCAATACCAGTTACTACTGTGTCCTCAGCAGGAAATTAATCTTAGGGTCCACAACTAGACTTTTCCTTTCAGCTGTATCAGTATTCGAAGGGAGTTTTCTATCTGTGTTCATTCATGTCAGTTTGACCAAGCTATATTTCTTTTATTGAGACGGAGTCTCGCTCTGTTGCCAGGCTGGAGTACAGTGGCACGATCTCAGCTCACTGCAACCTCCCCCTCCCGGGTTCAAGTGATTCTCCTGCCTCAGCCTTCTGAGTAGCTGGGACTACAGGCGCAGGCCACCACACCCAGCTAATTTTCGTATTTTTAGTAGAGATGGGGTTTCACCATGTTGGCCAGGCTGGTCTTGATCTCTTGACCTCATGATCCGCCCACCTCAGCCTTCCAAAGTGCTGGGATTACAGCCATGAGCCACCGCACCCGGCTGACCAAGCTGTTTTAACACCCATGATTTTGAAAATGAGATTTGAATGGCCTTTCCTATATTTCTGAGAGTACTTGGAAAAACAAAAACTATAAATAGTATAAAGAACAACAAAAAAATATTGGCTCATCAAGCCCAGTTTGAAAATACGGCTTTACAACATCTAATTCATTAGAATGTGAGCATTCTTTTTTTTTTTTTGAGACGGAGTTTTGCCGTTGTTACCCAGGCTGGAGTGCAATGGCGCAATCTCGGCTCACTGCAACCTCCGCCTCCTGGGTTCAGGCAATTCTCCTGCCTCAGCCTCTTGAGTAGCTGGGATTACAAGCACGCCCCACCATGCCCAGCTAATTTTTTGTATTTTTAGGAGAGACGGGGTTTCACCATGTTGACCAGGATGGTCTCGATCTCTTGACCTCGTGATCCACCCGCCTCGGCCTCCCAAAGTGCTGGGATTACAGGCATGAGCTACCGCGCCCGGCCCTGTGAGCATTCATTATTGAAGTGACACTGAACACTTCCAAGTCACAGTCGTGGCAAAAGAGATTCTTACAGCAAATAGGAGATCATCTCCAAGTCTCATATTCTTCGAATCTAGTTCATTTCTTTTGGAGCTTACTATTCCACCCTGAAAATCACAGACATATTTGTTAGATCTCTATAGAAGGAACAGCTTGCCAAGAAAAAAGTTAGTATATATTTCAGTTTGAATTGACATAATATTTTTTATTAATTTGTAAAATGTCAGGTTCACCTTCTTTATCCACGATTTTCAAGTCCAAAGAGCTGTGAAAAAATATATATTCACAAGCACATACACAACACACATGTACATATACGTAGTAATTCATTTGGCAGCAAAACCTGATCTAACCTGAAATCATTTGGATTCAAAACTTGCCTGGAACAGATGTGAGGCTGTATTTAGTCTTCACTTATCTCACTTTTGTAAGTATTTATAAATTTTCCTCCAGAATTATTCACCTATGTTGATCATGGGATGCCAATTCAGACCCTGCTAGAGTGCTATATTGTATATAATATATATTGTATATGATCTATGTGCCATATTACTTTCTTATATTTGAAAAATGCTATATTCTGAAACAAATCCAGTCCCAAAGGTTTTGGAAAAGGGATTATGGACCTTTACATAGTATGAATACCCATCTTCTAAACAGGCTTTCAAAACTATAATTTTGAGGCCAGGCACAGTGGCTCACACCTGTAATCCCAGCACTTTGGAAGGCCAAGGTGGGCGGATCAGTTGAGGTCAGGTGTTCAAGACCAGCCTAGCCAACATGGTGAAAACCCATCTCTACTAAAATACAAAAATTAGCCAGGCATGGTGGCAGTTGCTTGTAATCCCAGCTACTCAGGAGGCTGAGGCAGGAGAATTGCCTTAACCTGGAGGCAGAGGTTGCAGTGAGCCAAGATCACGCCACTGCACTCATACGTATATATACGTGTGTGTGTGTGTGTGTGTGTGTGTGTGTGTGTGTGTGTACACGTTATGTACACATACACACACACACACACACACACACACACACACATATAATTTTGAATCTTGAGGATATAGATGGATTTATGGTCATATCTAAAACTGTATTGAGTCAAAGTAGAATGGAATTCTTCTCCTTTGTTGGACTTTTCAGTTTCTAATATGTGTGGTTTGGACCTTTGTTTCCCATTGTGAATATGACTCAGTGCTGCACGATCTTCTGCTGATTCAAATATGGATGATATTTGTAAGCTGCTTCGAAGTACAGGTTATTCTGGCCAACCAGGTGCCAAAAGACCACCCAATTATCCCGAGAGCTATTTCCAGAGAGTGCCTATCAACGAATCCTTCATCAGTATGGTTATTGGTCGACTGAGATCTGATGATATTTACAACCAGGTGGGAATTAAATCTGTTAAGACCTATTAAGACAGTTTAACAGACTGATTTCACTTCCCTCTTTAATTACTCCTTTCCTTCCTTCCTTTTCCAAAAGAGTGAAAGCACCTAGAAGCTTTTTAAAACCTTTTGAGTTGTGCTCCAGGATGATAAAGGAAAGAGGGTTACTAATTTTGGCAGAATTTGAGTTATTAGGAAGAAGATGCATTATTTTAGTCATTCATTCAAGAAGTAGTTGTTGAATGTGTGATATGTGCCCATTCACATGCTAGGTGCTGGGGACCCATTACCGAAGAAGCCTGGCCACATTCCTACTCATACTGAGCTTGTAGCTTAGGAAGGACAGATAACAAGATTATAGTAAAGCAGGATGGGTGTTATCTTAGGGGACCAAAGGGTGCCACCAGAGCATGCAGGAGTAACAGCAAGGTCACAACAGGTGACAAAAGGAAGGTAAGAAGAGTCCAGGAAAGGAGGCAACCTGAGCAAGGCTGTAAAGATCAAGCAGCATTTGAAAATTGTCCCACTCCCCTTGCCAGTATGTGTAGTATTATTTACTTCCTTTAAACAACACCAAAGAAAATTACCATTTGACTTCATTGTTCTGAAGAAAACATAATTTTAGATGTTATATTTTTAAATATTTGTAAAAATTATTATTAGGGAATAAAGAGGCCACGTGCAGGGACTAACACCTGTAATCCCAGCACTTTGGGAGGCCAAGACGGGCAGATCACCTGAGGTCAAGAGTTCGAGAACAGCCTGACCAACTTGCAGAAACCCTATCTCTACTAAAAATACAGAATTAGCTGGGTGTGGTGGCACATGCCTGCAATCCTAGCTACTTGGGAGACGGAGGCAGGAGAATTGCTTGAACCTGGGAGGTGGAGGTGTTGCTGAGCTGAGATCGCACCATTGCACTCCAGCCTGGGCAACAAGAGCAAAACTCTGTCTCAAAAAAAAAAAAAAGTGGGGGAGTAAAGAGGCCTGTGATAACTGTGGATATCATTTATCACAGAATGAACCTGATCTGTGCAGTTCTTTAGGTAACTTGTTAGTTTTTTGTGTGAATATGTTAAGTATAAATAAGAGGGTTTTTTTTGGTTGTTTTAGGACAATTCAAAATCAGCAGATGCCAAGTCTCTGTAATAATTGTTGCCTTTCATTGAGAATTCAGTCTAAACCAGCCACAAAGGAGGTTTTGTTCCTATACCATTTCTCTGTTCCTCACAACAGCCCTGTAAAGTACATGGCATTATCCCTATGCTGCTGTTGAGAAAAATAAGACTTGGAGAGCTTAAATAATTTCCTCGAGTTCCTATTACTAAGTAGCAGAGCCATAATTTGAATTTGGTCTGTGTGAATTCAGAGTGTCTTATTCCTAATCGCCTCTTATTCCATGTCTTCCTGAAAGCAGTGTGTTTCTATTTTCTCCTTGCCCTATGATCTTTATTATTTATTAGCACAAGGGTTCAATTGTGGTTGTTGTGTGTGTCCACCCCACTCTCTGTCCTACACCTCCCCCATCCCTGGTCATAGCTGATGAGATTCTCTGTCTCCAAGTAATTTGGAATTGGGCCTGAAAACCAGTTCCTGGATTGGAGTTTACCCAACATGCAAAACTGGGAGTCTGCAGGCAGCCTCATTCTGCCATGTATATGGACAGTAGCCTGGAGGGAGAGAAAAGTTGGGCCCACACATCAGGGAGAGAAATAAGGCATTTCGGTTCCCAGCCCCAGCCCCTGCCCGTGGCCTGGCCACATTCCTGCCTGTGGCCTGGCCACATTCCTGCCTGCAGGTTTCATGTGACATGGCTATGTCTGTCCTTATAACAATGTCTCTCCTTGCTTATGGGAGCTCAAGGTAATTAATATGTGCTGTGTGCCGCCCAGGATTTCTAGTACATGAGGGGATGGACCCTTAAGGAACACCTGCATTTAAAAGGTAGAAGATGAGGACTCAGCAAAGGAGATTGAGAAGAGAGAGTGGTATCTGGGAAACCAGAAGAGGAGAGGGTTTCATTCCTCAGAGAGTTTAAGTGGGAGTCCTAAAAGAAGCTGGCAAATTGGATGGTTGTGAGGTCATGAGCGACCTTAGGGAATTCCACTGGGGTGATGGTGGAGGTCAAATTTCAGTGAGTTGAATAATAAACAGAAAGTGAGAAAATAGCAACAGCCAGTAGAGCCTATCAATTCTAAGAATTGTCTCTAACGGGTAAGATACAACAAAGGACAAGTGGTGGGAGACACAGGGATAGGACTTTTTTTCTTTTTTTTTTCTTAAGAGAAGACTTAGATTTGCAGTAGAGTCAAGGGCTGGAAGGAAGAGAATATTATGGGGTTAGGGATAAGAAGGAAGACCTGGCAAGCAATGGCACAGTCTGAGAATGGCTTCCAGTGTCCAAGATCCTGAAAGGTGATGGGCTTTGGAGAAACTGATGTGTCCTACAACCAGAGTTTAATTTGGGCATGTCTACGCGCAAATATTGCCAACAGCTCCCTCTCGGGATGTCGTCTCAACATTGCAGGTCTCAGCTTATCCTTTGCCGGAGCATCGCAGCACGGCCCTGGCAAACCAAGCTGCCATGCTGTACGTGATTCTCTACTTTGACCCTTCCATTCTTCACACCCATCCAGCAAAAATGAGAGAGATCGTGGATAAATACTTTCCAGATAATTGGGCAAGTATTGCTAATTATTTTCCCCTATAGTAAATGTGTTAGACAACTAATTTCCTATTCTTTTGGCCTTTAACCCAGAGGTTGTAATGTTGTAAATAATGAGACATAACATCACTTAGGTAAAGTTGCTCTAAGTGTGTTGAAAATTTTATAATTGTAGCATGAAGGAATATATGAGTCAGGAGATATCCTGAAGAACCCATTAGTCTTTTTCTAAAATGGATACTCTCAAAATTAAACCATTTATTAAAATTTATCTTGTTTTACCTACTGAGATTACAACTAAGTTGTGTAAGGATTTGTTTATTCTTTTCTGTTTTCTGAATGTAAGCTAGCTGAATTCATCTAATTCGTCACTTTGTGAATAGGAATTTCACTTTATAATAAAGTTTTACCTATAAGCTAACGGTGATGAGTTGTTAAAGTTTATATTATTGCAAGGATATGCTTGTATCTCTGTAAGCATTGTTACATTTTAAAATATATATTTTTTTGAAACAGAGTCTTGCTCTGTCACCCAGGCTGGAGTGCAGCGGTGCAGTCTCAGCTCACTGCAACCTCTGCCTCCTGGGTTCAAGTGATTCTCCTGGCTCAGCCTCCCTGGTAGCTGACATTACAGGTGTGCACCACCATGCCTGGCTAATTTTTGTATTTTCAGTAGAGACAGGGTTTCACTATGTTGGCCAGCCTGGTCTCGAACTCCTGACCCCAAGTGATCCACCTGTCTCAGCCTCCCAAAGTGCTGGGATTACAGGTGTGAGCCACCATGCCTGGCCAAAAATATTCTTATAGGAATAAAACTTGCTTCATACTTAATATATGTGAAATGTTTTCTTTACACAAAGAGGCTTTCACAAAATTCAGTGAATTGTATCATAGTTGTAGGTAGCAGATTTTGTTCTGCTTCTATATCAGCTTTGAATCACATTAATTATCTTTTATGAGGGACCTTCAATTTATTGGTAGTATGAGGACAGCCTACGTTAGCAAGTGATGGTTCCTGGCCAACTGTGAATCATATTAGTGAGCTCGGAGTTGAGCAACCAAGAGGAAAACACTGATAGTGTGGCTTCATGTTCCTGAGTTTAATAAATAAGTTTTGACCATGACACTATAATTAAAGACATACTTACTATTGAAAAAGACCAAGGCTGGGTGCAGTGGCTCACGCCTGTAATCCCAACACTTTGGGAGGCCAAGGCAACAGGCAGATTGCCTGAGCTCAGGAGTTCGAGACCAGCCTGGGCAACACAGTGAAACTCCGTCTCTACTAAAATACAAAAAATTAGGTGGGCATGGCTGCATGTGCCTATGGTCCTAGCTACTCCAGATGCTGAGGCAGGAGAATAGCTTCAACCTGGGAGATGGAGGTTGCTCTACCTGGCGACAGAGCAAGACTACTATCTCAAAAAAANAAAAAAAAAAAAAAAAAAAAAAAAGATCAAAATCCAATTACATGAAACCTATAAGATACACATCTAAAAAAATGCCCTGGCACACCGAAAGGGATTTTTAAAAAGATATCCCAGGAAAATGCCAACCAATAAAACAATTGGTGAGAAAACATTAATATACATTAATATTGTACAATAGAGAATTTCAAAAAGAAACATTAATAGGTATAAAGAGGCCTTTATTAACAAGGGGAATTAACAATCAGGAACACTTACCTATACATTTGGAAAATCTTGATTTTTCGTTGGGATGGAGTTTAAACATGAAGGAGTGGGTATTGTCGTCTGTAACTTTTTACAATTCCATCCCCTTACCTTGAAGTGAGTAGGAAGTTAAAAAATACTGAATGAATGTCTCCTCTTTCAGGTAATTAGTATTTACATGGGGATCACAGTTAATCTAGCAGATGCTTGGGAACCTTACAAAGCTGCAAAAACTGCTTTAAACAATACCTTGGACCTTTCAAATGTCAGAGAACAGGTAGGTTCTAATCCGGGGACATTCTCCAATAATTGCAGGCCTGGTTTATGAAGTAGCAAATAAGCTAAGTAGATTTCCCAAGGAATTTGGAAAATAATCACTTAGACAATTTAATGCAGTAATTAATAAAAGGTGAATTTTATAGCTTAGAATAAGATAAGTGATCATAGGTTTTTAAGTTATATGGCATATGTAAATTGAAGATTAGGATTCTAAGGAAGATTCAGTACCCTCAGACAAATAAGTGGCTTATGCCCCAATTGACTCAGTTTACTTTTGCTTAAAGACTGTATTCTTATGGCCAAAGTTCGTTTTACCAATAGCTGGAATTAATATGCTTTTATCAGTAGGATGATTGAAGACGGTAACTGAATACATATAATATGTCCTGTCACTGTAATTTAAATTTGTCATGTCTAATGTGCTAAATAAGCAACAAGACTCAAGACATTCATCTTAAAGTTTAAATGCTTATATTCTATCTCTTGTTCTTACACAAGGCAGAAGGAAACATCCGATTAAGTAGAGGAATAAAGATAAAATCTTTTTATTGGGGAGCATATTTGATATTTCTAAGTGGTTATATTCCTCATTCTGGCTCAGTTATTGAGTTTCCTGTGTGGATAAAACAATATTGACTCAAAAAAACTTCATCATGTTCTATTCAAATAAATTGAATTCCATAAATAATGCACAAAACAATTTCAATGTTGGCACATCTCCTAGAACTATATTAGAGAAAGTGGCACTTGTATACTTACCAACATCAGAACATTAATTTTTCATTACTAAAATCTCTTTCTAAAATTGCATTTTCTCATTTGTGACATTTTTAAGAGGTTTCTTGATACCATAGATTTAAACTAACTTGGCAAGGTTAGTGATGTTTAACATTTGACTTGCTTCAAGTAGAGCAGAATGACCAAAATTTCCAAAAAGCTGGTTTGGGAATTCATTTTTGATATACTAAGGTCTATTTTTTGCTAAGCTTTCATAAACCTTTAGAAGAACTCTTAATTTTGAAGTATTTCTGCTCTGTTCTGCCTTCTTTGTCAACAGTATTAGCAAGAACAAGCAATTGAGCTTCTGTCTTTGTTTCTTTTTCATCTAAGTTAAGAATAGAAGAGTTCTTAGGAACTACTTGGTCCAAGTCTTCGTTGGAAATTTTAAGAAACCCATACACAGGGGTTAAGCCCCAAGTCACACCAAAGTTTATCTACAGCCAGAACTAGGAAGTAGTCTCAGAATTCTAAGTCGATTGCATTTTTTAAATATGTTCAATAAGCCAGTTGTCTTTGAACCCTAGAGCTATAGTCCATATGTTGTTCATCTTATATAGAAACGTTGTCTTCAAGCCCTAGAACTGTAGTCCATATGTTACTTATATAGAAATTATATGGAAATGTTCATGTTTGAGCCCTGTAACTGGAGTCCATATGTCATTCATGTTATACAGAAATTTTGTCTCCGAGCCCTTTAACTATGGTCCATGTCATTCATGTTACATAAAATGTTGTCTTTGAGCCCTATAACTGGAGTCCATATGTCATTCATCTTATATAGAAATGTTACCATTTGTCAGTGGATTCATTTGAATGTGAGTTATTTTCAAGATAAATGACTCTTTAAATGTAATTGAATTTTTTTGTTTTTCCAGGCAAGCAGATATGCTACTGTCAGTGAAAGAGTGCATGCTCAAGTACAGCAATTTCTAAAAGAAGGTTATTTAAGGGAGGAGATGGTTCTGGACAATATCCCAAGGCTTCTGAACTGCCTGAGAGATTGTAATGTTGCCATCCGATGGCTGATGCTTCATACAGCAGACGCAGGTAATGCACAAAAGGCATGGCTGTTTATATTGCACCACATCAAGACTCTCAGAATCAGGACCTACTTCATGTTGCATAGTGGTTTAGCAGGGAGAGGGGCCTTGGATGAGAATCAAGTTGCTTTTTAAAGGTAGTCATTTTTGTGTCAACTTGGATAGGCCACTAGCACACCTGAAAAGCTCTCCCCTGTCAGGTACTGTTAGGTGCTAGGGAATAAGAGTACATTTTGCTCTCATGTTCAAGGAACTTGTCACTCAGCAGACTGGGGAGATCAAATGTAGACATATGAAAAAATAGAACTGCCCGTCTGTGGTAGGCAGAATAATCCCTTCCAGCCCACCCCCAAAGATGTTCATGCCCTAGTCCGTGAACCATTAGATATATTACATGAAAAAGAGGGATTGAGGTTGCCTATTAGCTGACCTTAAAGTAACGAGATGCTTCTGGATTATCCTGGTGGACTCAATGTAATCATAAGGGTCCTTGCTGGGCATGATGGTTCGTACCTGTAATCCCAGCACTTTGGAAGGCCAAGGCAGAAGGATAGCTTGAGCCCAGGAGTTAAGAACCAGCCTGGGTAACATAGTGAGACCCCATCTCTACAAAAAGTAAAAAAATTAACTGAGCATGGTGGCAGGCACCTGTATTCCCAGCTACTTGGGAGGCTGAGGTGGGAAGATCACTTTGAGCCTGGGAGGTTGCAGCTGCAGTGAGCCAAGATCGTGCCACTGCACAGCAGCCTGAGCAACAGAGCAAGATCATGTTTCAAAAAATAATAAAATAAGAGTCCTTTTTAAAAATTTTTTTTTAATTATTTTTTTAGACAGGATCTCAAGTCCTCCAGGTTTGAGTGCAGTGGCACAATCTCAGCTCATTATAACCTTGGCCTCCTGGGTTTGAGTGATATTCCTGCCTTAGCCCCCCAAGCAGCTGGGACTATAGGTGTGTGCCACCACACCTAGCTAACTTTTTTGTATTTTTTGTAGGATAATATTTCACTATGTTGGCCAGGGTGGTCTCAAACTCCTAAGCCCAAGCAGTCTATCCACCTCAGCCTCCCAAAGTACTGGGATTACAGGCCTGAGCCACCATGCCCAGCATGTAAATAGAAGTCCTTAAATCAGGAAGAGGGAGGCAGAAGTGTCAGAACCAGAGAGATGCACTGTGACAAAAAACTTTACTGGCTATGGCTGGTGTTAAAAATGGAAGGGGCCACAAGCCAAGGAATACAGGTAGCCTTTAGTGGCTGAACACAGCGAGACAACAGATTTTTCCCCTAGAGCCTCCAGAAGGAGCCCGGCCCAGCCAACACCTTGATTTTAGCCCAGTGAGCACCATCTCAGATTTGTCACTTCTAGGATGATAAGAGAATAAATCTGTGTTGCTTGAAGCCACTGAGTTTATGGTAATTGTTAGAGCCGCAGTGGGAAACTAATCCAAGGCCCAAGGCAGGAAACAGAGACC